ATGGTCGACATACAGTGTTTTGGCCCTGGGCCATCAGCTGTCCACTCTCCCTTTTATCTATTTCACTTGTCCGAGATTTGTTTCTAGCGGAAGTCGGCACTGTCCGTCCGGCCCCTTTTCTCCAGAGCCTTGTGCGTTGCGGGCATAACTGTTTGAGGAATGGTGGCTGCCTTTTGTCTGCTTTTCCTTGCGCTAATCAAAACGGAATTGTTGCCCCAGCGTTAGCTGTCTCAGCAGTACCTGTCATGACGATACGATTTGTTCTAGCAGTCTTACCAATACAGACTCCACTACTACACATTTTCTTTTTCTAGTTATCTCCTCCGAGTCCGCTCCGTGGGTCTGGGAATAATAATAATATCGGACGCCATGTCCGCATTAGGCGAATTCAAGGCTCCACTTATTCCCAGCCTTCTCGGTCACAGCCTTGCGACCTCTTCTTCAGTCAAATAATGTTTGACATCTTCCAAACGTGGAGATATTGAATGAGTAGGCGTGGCTGGACTAATCAAAGGCAGTGACATTGATGCCGTGGTGGCGCCAACGCAATTCTGGTAAGTGGCAATTTCCCTCGAATGACTATCGGCATCCGGTCGTATTCCTGATCATCATGGAGTAAATGCAGGGGACTTTGTCTGCCTTGCTCTGGGTAGGATTTACCCACGTTACCCTAGATGAGGTCAGGACTACAACACGAACCGAAGACAGGTGTTACATTGACGTTGTACCGCGGAATGCTGGATTCAATGCTGCGTCCTGGACTCGTGGGTGGAAACTTTACCGGCAAAGTTCATCCAGTTCAGACTCTGCTGCCATGTCCCAGTGATACCACGAGGCGCTGAGCTGGAGCAGACAGTACCAGCCACTATGAGACTGGGCCGATTGTGTGGACCTTTCTAAACGGCGACTGACACAAAGGGCGTAGTCGCCACCCGGCTGGACGTCGACCAAGTTGAGGACATGTCATTTCAACAGTGCAATGGTTGTTACACCTTCCCGTCCTTGTGTACCTGGCGATGGGAAGAAGTTCCTCCACCACACAGGATGCAGGCCAAAGCAACATCAACAGGGCACATCTCGGGGCTGTCATCGCCCAGCTGGTAGACTCTTGTCCCTCCATTCAGCTGGCCGGGTCTTTTGTTCATTTCTCGAGAGGCCAATCAACGGGCCTCAAACGGCAGAAGTGAGGTCTGATTTGCAGCATTAACCATGACCTTCTGAGAGTTTCACCTGTTTCGGCAAGCGACAGGTCAAGACCTGCGGAATTCTAATTACGCTTATCTCTTGAGGAAATCAGGAGGGACCGACATCAGACAGGCCGTCCCACCCATTGGCTTGAATCTATTTGCTCATCGACAATCTCTACGGAGTACTTAGGGCGGGATCGATATCTGTGTGCGTGTGCGCACGCAACAAGCTGGTTCTTGGCTTTGAGGAATGCAGCGCGTATGCGTGCGAGTCATGGCTTCTGACTGGATGGGCATTTGGCGGTGAACAACTCTGCAGAGCGGCCCAATGTGAAGCGACGGATGGCACTCACGCATTTTGACGTGCGGCCAATATGCACACAGATCGAAAAGGATTTTCGAAGCAGAGTAAAGAAATGGTTGCCTTTTGAGATACAGATCCGGACCTGGATCTCGCTTTAGCGCTGCCACGTGGTTCCACTTCAGAGAGAAAGAATGCGCATTTAACAACGTCTGCGCGGCGCGTGACGGACTTTGTGTCCAACGTTGTGGACAGTTCAATGGAGCTCCTTGCGCCTCCTTCTATTTGAACCGGCAAAGGGTATGACAGGTGGCGATCTGGTCGGGACAGGAGGGGAGGCAATGCTGGTCAATTCATTTGTTCTCTGCTGTCTATCAGTCTCTGACTTTCTCTGGGCAATTCCAAGGTGTACCGGGAGTCTATCCTCTTGAGGCTGAGAGCAGTTTCACAAATGCTGGCTATACCTGGGCCCATATCTCATGACTGCTGTTGCTGGACAACCTACAGCCTTGCACCGATCGTTTCGTGTCTCTCAAACTGTGAGGCAGCAAGAGACACGCCGCTCTGGAAGAATCATCACTTTGGCAGGGAAGCCGATGATTTGGCACCCCCTTACCAGACAAAAACAAGTGGTGATCAGTATTGGTACGTTCTACTCTGACCGCTTGGGCATTTTGAGATCTGCCTCAGATGTGGCCTTGTGGACGGACGAGCAAGGCCATCCCTGGATCTACACGCCTTTATCCTTGCGCATTCCTGAAACATGAGTTGATCACTCGTCTCGGACCCCCTGGCGGCCCTGTTTGTTTGCCCCCTTTTGAAACTGCTCAGCCACGAGACCCATCAGCAAGCCAACTACACCGTCCTGAACGCATGTCAAACACGAGAATCACTTCCTCGTATACCTACCCGCGGATGCCATGGTCCATTGGGGATTCCCCTTGCGTCAACAAATCTCAACAGGCCTCCCCTTTTTCAATGGTTACGTCTTGGAATCTCCGCACTCAGGCTTTGGGGGTAAGGTCGTGATGTTCGTCCTGTGTAACCACGCTAGACTCGAAGGAGACCACAATTTGATCTGCCGCTGGGGGTTGGCTGGCGATCACTGTGCTTCACTCTGGGGTTTGCCACAAGTCAAATTTTGAATGATGTTGAAGTGATGGATCGATACGGGAGGAGGATTGGTAGGCACTTACCGACGAGTGATGTGATGTGATGCAAACTGCGATAGGGCGAGTATGCCGGCGGTATTGAAATGCCACAGTGAGGCAGGCAGGCTGTGTCCCCTTGTCCTGGCCAGGGATGAGGCTGTTGTCACATTATATGCGAGCCAGGGCGTTTTTCATCCATCCTCTGGCTAGGGGGCCTTCTGTATGCATAGTACTTTATCAGACGCGGGCTCTTTTTATAGAATATAGAACATTACGAGGTGATGGTATATATCTAGTGTGTTACAGGAGAAGCAAGGGGGAACAGCAGGTTGGGCCACGGCATTTCATCACTAACCGCACCCCTCTCTCTCTCTTCATCCTGGGAGATGTTCAGCCTTGCTTTAGCGAAGGATGGTTCGAAGGTTGATTGTAGCTCATCGCCGCCCGAGGAATCTGAGGAACGAGTATGCTTTCACTTCAACGGCCATTGAACCGACCACCTGGTCGTCGGTGGTGGTGGCAGACACATGACTGGAGATGCCATGCTCACCTGCAACCAACAACGCGGACTCTGGTATTTTGGATCTTCGCTGAAGTGAATTCGAGGCGTACGGTCAAGTCGTTCATGAGCCAGCCATCCGTCCCATTGTCGGTACTTCGTGTTGTCTATGCTTTTTTGTCTGATAGGTCGTATCCCTCCACACTGGCGCCTTGGTCGCGTTTCCATTGGGACTTCCTTCGGCCTCTTGCGACACTGCTTTCTACTCAAACGTACAGGTCGTTGAGAAGTTGCCTTTGGTACAGACTCAAGGAACATTGGATCCCTGTCCAAAACGACGGGAGGTAGAGCTGTGTAGCCTCACACGGGCCAATCAGTCACGTTTGGCCGGAAGAATTCAAGAAATACTCGGCGTTTCATGGCTACGACTATCAAATGACGCTGTTTCACATTATTTGATGGATTTACAAGACAAAGGTTCGTCCACCATTTCCGTCAGATACCTGCTATTCTCGTACCGCATAAGCCAGTACCCAAAAGCGATGGCTGCATTACACTGACTGACCCTGGGCTCGCTGGCTTGCATGTTGGAGACGGGGAACGGGTTGGGAGGTGCAGGAATCAACTAGATCTGAAGCGCGATCGGGTCGAGATTCTGGGCTGGACTGGACTGGACTGAAAGCACACGGGATGCAACGATGAGCTGAACATGCCTCAGTATGCAAATTAGCTAGGCTACGAGCGTGTGTCACAGATTCTGACAGTCCATTTCCTCAGCAGAGAGACATCCGTCGGCTCGCCGCATCTCATGGTACAAGACACGCGGCAGACCGCAGAGTCAAAGTAAGCTGTCTGGCCTCGACGGTATATCGCCAATCGCTAGCCGACAGCCAGCAGCTTGCAGTCATACCTTGCAAGACCGACCACCGGCACACTTGTCTGTGCTACGCACACTCACACACCCGTGCACACATTTACGTCGAGCAGACGTGGAAATACCACGACACAAAGAAAAGGACGTTGATGTCTCACTAGCAGGCAGACAGGCAGGCAGACGGGCGTGGTTTATAATACGTTCAAACCTGTCCCGAAGAAGAAAATTGTACACACGCAAGAAATCATGCATGTAAGCGCACCTGTCCTGGACAAGTCCTGAACAGGACGAGGTGTGTACCCGGTGTGTGTCGACTACGAAGTTCAAGGTAGTAGTAGTAGTAGGTAGCAGGGAGAGGTTATCCCAGCTCTACACAGGAATTCCACGAATTCCGTCGAGTTGATTGTATTTTCGTATCATTTCAAGTTTTCGGTGTCATTTCAAGTCGTCAATTATCTAGCACTGTCCCAGCTCATCCTATCCCATCCCAAACCAGTCCAACCCATCACATTATTGAAAGGACAATGAGAAAATAACGAGCAGCAAAAAAACAAGAGGCCGTTCCACCGTGTGTTCCCTCGTGTGTGTGTGTATTCGTGTCAAGTTTCAAGTAGCTTTCCTACCCATTTCATCTCATGGCGAGTTAAAAAACTTTCTTTTTTCTGATTACTTTTGTGGACTGGCTGTTGTTGCCACTGTTGCGACGTGTGGTGCTGGGGTATGCTTTTGTGATTTGTGATTTGTGACTTGTTATTGTCGTCGTCGCCGCGGCCGCCCACGCCTGTACTTGTTTGTACACAAGGCCAGGCCGCGCTTGATTGTAGAAACCGGCAACAGTCCAGATTAGAAGTAGGGCGCGCCCGCGCCCTTGGCCGCCCCTCCAACACTGACTTTTTCGCATCCAAAGGCCTCACCCTCTGAAAGAGCCTCACGTCTCCGTGATCTTGATGGTCGATCATCTGAATCACCCTCACACGACACGCAGGACCTATAACATGTCGTCTTTCAAGTCACCGTCGATGCTCCCCTCTAGGCCATCACCCGCGCCCGCACCGGCACCACCACTGCCGCCGCCACCGCCGAGCTCTCTAACCTCGGCGGTTTCCCAGCAGAGACTGGTCAGGTCGAGCACCCAGCGCTGATACTGCTCCTCGAGGAATTCAATGGTCAGGGGCTTTGGCCAGGACTTGAAGGTCGCGTCTGACGCGGGGTCCTTGAGCATCTTGTCGTACTTTTTGAAGGAGACGCGGTGGTGCGAAATGTTCTGCCAGCTGTCGTCCATGTCGATGTGGAGTTGGGAGCCTGAGAAGAGCTCGAACCTGGGTTATCGATGATAGTTAGACGGAGATTGCATCACAATACAGTAAATGGTCTGCGTCAGATGTCCGAGTCGCGTGCACGCAAATCCCAACGTGCCGACAGAGTTTCGGCTCCTCTCAAAAGGAAATTCCAATCACTTACCCAATGTAGACGCCGTTGGCGCTGCCAAGACTGATGATCTTCGCCCCCGGTGAAGTCTTGACCAAGTGGTAAATCTCACAGTAGGGAATCAAATCCTGATGCGTCGGATATTGTGGGAAGAAGGGGAATTTGAGCTGTTTACCGCCCCGAAAAAAAAAATTGGGAAGCACAAAGTCAGTTGATTGTCACTATTTCTCGCCGAGATTTAGAGTAACTCACGAAATGGAGGTCTCGAGACTTGTTCTCGTCGTACTTGATGTCCCAAAAGTGTCGCAACACGATCTGGTCGGTGCGCGAGAGATTGCCGATGGCGCTGTGCGGCAGGGCCGTCATCTGGTAGTTGGTCGGGGGGCGATTCGCAAAGTCGAAGCTCGAGCTGGTCTTTGCCGACACGGGTCTCGAGTCGTGCAGAGAGCCCGCCGTGCCGTTTGGCATCATGGGTGCGTGTGAGAGAGGAGGCGTGTACGAGGTGGGAGGTGCTGATTGATGGGACGTCGAGGCTGAGGGTTGTGAATTGTGGACAGACCCGGATCGAGAAAAGCGCCGCATACTGATGAACGGGGACATAGTATTACCTAAGAGAGGTGAAGAGGAAGAAGAATGAAAACGGCGAGGCGAGAATAAGTTTTAATTGTACGCGGTGACCGTTAGGGCCAAACGAATACGATAGTAGGAGAGTAGACAATTAAAAAAACCCGGTGGCGCGCACGCTTATTGTCGACGACAAGACGTTTGGATGTTGGATAAGTGGATTGGGTTGGGGGAGAATGGGAAAAAAGATGGTGGCAGGCCTTTCACCGTTTTGCCCATTCGGGGGTGGAGCCGGAAAGATGGCGCTAGCCTCTATTTATATGGAGACGGCTAGACCACACTCAGTAAGGCGCCGGATAGGGAACAACTTTAAAAACTGGCAAAGTCCGATGGGCGACAAACGTTGGAAACAACTTCCCAACCTCCAACCTCCTCAGGGGCTCCTTCCCGCCGTTGTACGTTGATGAGAGGCACTCCATCTCAAAAGTCCTCAACTCAGCCAAGGTTGGCCAAGCCTGGTTTGTGAAAGCTGGCTGCCTCCCCCTTTATGTTTATGTCAAAAGCTGGCGAGTCCGGTCCCAGGGAGGCTGAAGCCGAGCGGCAGCTAAGGCAGCTTGCCAGGAGCTCCGAAGCCTTGGCTGCAAGCCTACAAGGTAGAGGGAGAAAGGGCAATCTGCCGTGTGGCGAGCGACGCCTCTGGAAAGACATGTAGGTAGATAGCGAACCGCTCCTCATTACCCGGTACGAGGTACTTATATGTTCGTCGAATGTCCTCGGCCAAGTTCCAAGGCCGGAAGAATCCTGAGGCGTCGGAGTTGCCTTGGGGGCCGGAACGAATTCGTCCCATTCGCCTATTTCCAGTCTAACCAGATCAGGATAATTTCCAAGTGCGGCCAACTTGATATATCCATCCACGAGGCTTCGGCCTCACTCTAGCCCGGTCGACCCTCTGGATGATCCCAAACACGAACCATTCGAAGACTTTGCCGATCAGAACATTCCATGCTCACAGAAAGGCCCATACTAAGGCATTATTTTGGTAAACAATCTCATCTTCCAGGAGAACTTGATCTTGGTCTTGAGCAAAAATCAGGCAGCAGTTTTTTGGGGAACGATGCTTTACTCTATGGCGAGAAGGTACTTATACCTCGCGATAGTCGACTTCTCTGGCTGTTCGCAAGAGACAAAACACTCATCAGCAAAGCAATAACCTTGACAACGACAAGCCAAGTCGAAATTCTCTTGTTTGCCAACCCACAATGACTTCCACGACACCAAATAAAACCCTCTTCCGCGTGGGTGTCCTTCTGCTACCATCGGTCCAATTTCTCGATGCTTCAGCCATTGACCTCTTCGGAATGATCACCCCTGAATACCTCCAGGCATGCGGCCTACCGGAAGCACTCGTCGACATGGGCGTTCCAGTCGAAATCCATTACATCAGTGCGACAGGGGCAGGCACTTACATGGCCTTGACGGCCTCGGCCACGCTTCCTGTGACGGACTCTCTGTCGTCGCCAGCTGTGCAGCCGGGCCAACTCGATGCTCTCCTCATCCCGGGTCCAGACCCACGCACGGTTCCGGGTGAAGATGTCTTGGCTTTCCTTCGCGCGCACAAAGCAGCCGACAAGACCGACATCCTGATCATCTGCACGGGGAGTTTTCCAGCCGGGTTCGCAGGGCTTTTCGACGGCAAGACAGTCACTGGTCCGAGAGCCCTATTGGGGAAGCTGAAGGAGGTATTCCCTGCGGGGAACTTTGTGGCGCGGAGATGGGAGAGAGATGGAAGAATTTGGTCGTCCGGTAGGCGTCTGCTGTCCTCGAGGCACTCCTCCTTCCCATTTATAAAGCGCATCTGCTTACTTTTTTTCTTTTTTCCAGGTGCCATCACAAACGGTCTTGATCTCACTGCGGCCTATCTGCACGACAAATTCCAGAAGGAGCTTGCAGATCTTGTCTGCGGCATGGCCGAAGTAGGCGACCGCGGTCAAGATTACTAGTAGTGTCAGAGTGAGCAACAACACCTTTAGTGGAATTCGTTGTGTTTCCGGATCGTGCGTGCATGGGTAAAAGGTAGCAAGAGGGGAAAAAAGGCATAGCAAGCGACAGAGTCAGTCAGAAGAGAATATTAGAAAAAATCCAAGTCAATATTCAGGGCCTATAGTGAGCTTGTTCAGGTGGCTGTCTTGTGCGGTAGATTCCCGGTGTGGCTTGCGTTCCAGAGGGAGAGTCGGCCATGAGAGAGCTCGTCGCCTCCACTCCTGCTGTGCTAATTTCTCTCCATGCAATGCAATGCACGCACGCGCACCGACCCCATCATCTGCTTGGCCTGCTCCCCTGCTCTTGTCCAACCAAGGTGTGGTCCCGTCCATGCATGCTCACCACAGCATCTGTACTCTTGAAGCCTCGATCCTGGCTCTGTCCACCTGAGCCCGGTCCACGCCGTGCTGGTTGACCATGTGGTTCACCACGCACCCGACCCTCTGCGAAACATATTGGCACGCGTAGCAGCTGTATCGGTATGGTGCTGGTCTCTGCACCAGTGACTGTGTCGGTGGTAGCGGCTGCGCGTGATTGTCTTGGATCGCGGCCTGGTGAGTTCCCGCTGTTGGTGCATGCGGCTGGGGCGCTGACGGAGTGCCAGGAAGGAGAGGCGCAGAAGGGCGAATGAATGTACCAGTGCCACTACCGGTGGAAGGGTGAGGTTGAGGCTGAAGGGGAAGGGGAGGTTGGCTGCTTCTGTGCAGCGCTGGATTCGTTGTCGTCCTCGTTGTCGTTCTCAGTGGGACTGCTGCTCCTGGCGCCGATGTTGCTGCCGCTCCCGCTCCCGCTCCAGCTCTTGCTCCCCACGCCGGCGTCGGCAGCGAAGGCCGCGGCTGTTGCTGTACGGTCATGTTGACTTGCTGAGGACGCCGAACCCCTGCTGGGTAGTAGACGATTTCCACACCTGGAACCACTTCCCTTGCCGTCAAGTGGAAGGTGGTCAGGATCTGTGCTACCTCGAGCTCACGCTCCGTGTTCTCTCTGAGTCGTCTTTCCATGCTCGCTCGTGTCGTGTGCCGAGGGAGATACTGCGGAGGGCTGTTGCTTTTGTCGTTGGCGCCTTGCTCGCACTGGCAGAAAGGGAAGAGAGAGAGAGAGGCAGTGGGAGAGAGGAAGTTGGATGGAAGACCAAGGTTGAAACCAAGTGATGGTTTCTTCGTGATGGGACATTGTGTGAATCAATGTCACCAAGCAAAGTCTCCAGTCCAAGTTGCTCTTCACTGTCGACATTCACACAGAGCGCGACATTGCCTTGACCGCGACGGAGCTAGCAACCGCGCCTGGCTGCGCCTGTATATCTAGGACAGAGTCAGCGAGCATATTCGTGAGCAAGACCGCTGAGGCTCTCGCTGGAACACATACCCGAGCTGCATCCTGGTCCAGCATTCTTTGTCAGAGGCAGTAGTGCGAAAGGACCGAATGCAACAGGCGGAGTATGTCCTCCACAGCAGTCCTGGGGAGTGGTCAGTCGAGCATCTTAACTGAGGTGATAGGATCTGTACTGACCGAGTTCCTCACGTGGGCAGGCCACCACAGGGTGGGAATATAAAGAGGTGACGATTCAAGGCTGGCTCGACAGGAAGGAGTATGCTCTACTCAACGCCAGGACTGCGGAATCGTCAGTTTCATTTCCATCTTGAAGCAATTGATCCAGGCACTTACAGAGCCAGACACTTGAATCGCCCACCTCGCGGCCGGGACGGTATAAAGAGGCAACAATTCACGATGTTTGCCACTAGGAGGCGGAGTACGTCCACTCAACGCCAGCTCTGTTGAACAACTCAGTAAGGTCGCTTTGTCCCTGGCAGGTGATGGTGATGTCAAAACTTACAGTAACAAACACTCTGAACCGTCCACCCCGGCCGCAATATAAAGAGGCCCCAATTCAGAGCGGCCCCGCCTGAAGACGGAGAGGACTCGACGTCGTTCCTGTGTAACGGCGGTCAGCAAAGGTCCGCGACTTTGGGCTTTTTGCCAGCAAGGATACAAACTCACACCGACCGGAACTCGACTTGGTCACCATTAATTTTTATATATAATAGTAGTCGCAAACAGCACAGGACCCTTGGGTTGCTTGAGGCACCGCGCACCATTTGGTGGCTTCCGCGTTAAGACTCGAGCCAGACAGAGCGAGCGCAGGCCCCTTTGATTGTCGATTCTGGATGGGCGGCGACAGGATCTGCCTTGCTGGAAATCGGTGCCGTGCTCCATGCTTCTCGCTGCAGGTACCCGTCCTGGGTCCGCACGGTGCCACAGGACGGGTTACATCACCACACTGTGCAGGCGCAACGATGGTGTCTCGCTGCGCCGACCAGTACAGGAGTCGTGGCGGATTCATATGCAAGCAGGACGTTGCCTCTTGACAAGCACAGCGAGCCGCCGTTCGGGGAGGAGCAGCACTGCCGCAACCTGAGAGGGAATCAGCGGCTGTCATTGTGACAAACCAGAGGGAGACAAACCCGGCGCCATGGGTGGTCGTGCGCCCAAAGATAATGTGTATATATACACCCTGGAGGATGGGCTAGAGGTGTATCAGGACGTTGTGTCAATCCACTTGGTCGATCGAAGTGAGTCGGGTCCTGAGAAGAGGGATAGGTCTGTCCTTGAGTGAACTTGAAAGGCTTCTTATTTGGGGTCCTGGAGAAGACTGGATGGTCAGCAAAATCAGCAGACCGGAGTGTCAAGGTCGACACAACACTTGCAGGCAAACACTCTTGCCACGGACCAACATACAGAGCTTGAGGCGGAACCGTTGACATGGGCTCCTGCATTCCGAGGTCTCTGGCCTCAAATCGGTCCAAGCAAGGAACAAATCACATCTTGCAGGTGCAGGAGTGCATGCCAATCGTGGTGGGTCTGTC